CCCCGACGGCGGCCCCCGCGGCGCAGACGCCCCAGCCCCCCACCGCCCCCAAAGGGGCGAGCGACGCCAAGCTCTGCGCTCTCTACAAAGAGGCCGAGCTGCGCCTGAAGGGCAGCAGCAACACCACGGAGTGTGTGCCCGTGCCCACCTCCGAGCACGTGGCCGAGATCGTGGGCAGGCAAGGTAAGCGGGAGCCGGGACCACGGAGAGGGACCGGAGTGAGGGGCACCCCGTCCCCAGCGCGGAAAGTTCATTTCTCCCCTCCTCGCCCGCCTCTGGCTCTGTCCCTTCCCCACAAAGGGGGACCCGCCCCCTACCCTGTTTTCCAAGTGCCACAAAGTTCCCTTTTACCCCTAGTCGGGACGGTTCTCCAGATCCTTCCTCCCCCAGAGCTCTGCCCTTAGACAAAGAAATATCCTAGCACTGGGAGTGGGAAAGGGGAGGGGGACCGGTCTCCCAATCCAGGGAGGCTATCCGGAGGGGCGGTCCACTCATAGCCAGAAAAAAAAAAAAAATCTGACGGAATGTGCGGAGTTACTCAGGAGCCCCTATTCCGGTGTCTGCTGGCGGGTTGGGGAGGGGGCACCCCTGGGACCCTCTGCTGCCTGGAGTTACAGACTTTGGGGAGACCTGGCCCGGGAAGCCAGACTGAGTATCTGTGTCTTTGTTGGGCTGAGTGTAGGAATGGAAGGGGGTGTGGCTCAGGGGAGGGTCCCAGCCTGGGGGAGAAGTGGTAAGGGGGGTCGCTGGGAAGAGGGGGTCCTGTGGTCCCCAGACACCGAAGTTGGATGTCTGTGAGATTTTGGAAGGGGTGTCTCCGAGGAAGTGCTCTGTCCTGGCTTGGACCTCTTCTCTTCCCTCTCTGGCTTTTGTTCTGGGCTGGCCAGGGCCTGGGGCCAGAGGCCTGGAGAGGGGTCTGGTAGTGAGAGAGTAGGGTGAGCTGGGAGTGGGCATGCTGAGGGGTGAATAACAGTCACCTGGAAATTTGGCGGACTGTGTGTGCCTGGGTGTGTTGGGGGTGTGTGTGTGCGTAGAATTAATCCAGTATAGTGTGTCTGATACCACACCCTCCTCAGCTCCAGCATCCCCTGGTGGGTGGGCAGGGGTGTTGGTGAGGGTCCAAATTGAGCAGACGGGATCTTGGGGACCCTTCCGTCTCCCGGCTTCCCAAAAGGGAGTGGGGGGGCGGGATTTGGAAATTGCGAAGGGGCTGGGCTGGGGAGTTGTGGGGTGGGGGAGGAGCGGGGGAGGAGCTGTCCCACAGTGGGGAACAATAGAGGAGCTGCATTCCGGCTGGGAGTGAGGGAGGAGGCCAGCTCCTGGAGGAGGAAAAGGGGAGGCGGACCAGGGGGGCCCTACTCCACAGCCCACCTCACCACCGGGACTGATGGGGTTAGGGGGATTTCACGGGAGACCAGGAATGGAGGAGGGGAGATGCCACTCCCAGCACAGCCCTGATCCCTCTGGAGCACTCCGTCTCTTGAGGTTTCAGATTTAGAAAGTTGGATTTCCTCTTGTCAGAACTGGGGATCCAGAGCCCTGGAATTGGGTGGGGACACTGATATCTTTTCTCGGGTGTGGGGTGGTCTTGGGAGGCCCTGGAATTTAATGGTGTCATTCTTTCCTCTTCTGCCTCCGCATCAGATGGGCCTGCCCCTCATAAAAGTAGGGAGATTTCTCCTATTCGGAGGAGGACAGAAGCCTCTCCCTCCTTCCTTAAGCATACGGAGGCTCTTCCT